CGAATAGTCATTTATATTGGGAATAGCAATCTGTGAATGAATACGGCACTCAGTGAACATTGGTAGATGACTCCAAGACTCTTGCCACTGTGTTGTGAAAACAGGAATGGGTACAAAATTCTTATCGATACTACAGTGGTCACCAATATGGAGGATCAGAGATGACGATTTATCATAAATACTGTAATTAAACATAACCTATGTAAGATATTGTTGAGGCAATATGGTATTTCACTGAGCCGAAGAGAATTCTAAACAGTTTACCCTATTGCTGGAGCGATACTAGAACTTTCATTAGATAAAAACCTTCAAAATTGCTCCATGTTTGACCACACAACTGTTGTCGCGATACGTGAGTGCGTTCGCATAATCCGTTATGCACTGTGGCTGATTGTGTGGCTTTCACCGTGACACCAGGACTGTAAGTTTGCGAACCGGCTTGACTGGAACGAAATAAACCCGTTACAGTCGACGGAGTCATGNCAGGAAAGCTATTGACTACCGGTTTGGATAACCGCGACTATTGACAGAAGAGAACACAATTGATGATGTATGCCTTTCTCGTGCAAACGTTCATGCGAATTCCAGGTCACCAACCTGTAAAGTCTATCGCTTGTGTGCACGTAAACAAGCACAATTCACATTATAGATTTAGTCACGCTCCCTGAACATCCATTATATGGGAATATGTGCCCATTAGATTGCCTCGGTGATTAATCTATCCATGGCACACTCTTGCTACCAAAAGCAGTGTTGCTCGGTGGAATCAATATACCTTAGTGCCCTACGCCAAACATGATCAGTGTGATAATATGCACGTTTGAACCCATTCTCAGTTCCGCAGAGAATGTTTGAGATATAATTTGATTATTCTATGATTTCCGCGATTGAAATTCTAGCTGTTCCTTAAAATCACTAGATTTATAAAAAGGAAAACCCAATAAAAATGATTTTTATTAGTCTGAACTACAGTAGTCAGTTTCACAAGAACTGATGATGAACCTTTTTTCTAAGCTAGGATCAACCTGAGTATGAATAGGTTCAATTTAAATAGTAGCATAGTAGGCTTCAATATAATGACTGCTTTCGGAAGGTGTCTAGCACAATAACGGATCCAACAGCCATTATTGATTCACGTTGAAGAATACCGGTGACGACAGGGAATGACACCAAGCGTAGCGACTGTTTTACAGGTCACAAAAACGTCAACCAGCGGAAGTTCGGTCAAATCAAATAAATCAAACCATCTGACAAGGCAAACAATGTGAACTTGTTGATAGCTGTCAGTTCAATTCACGTTATGTCTTGCGTAGAACGTTATTCCGATTAGAAATATCAATAATGAAATTCAGTTTCAAGTCCACTAGCAGCACGACTGATTGTAGGAGAAGTTCCCTTAACACATTTTGCCCAAAAGACACACTTCTTTTCTGCTTTTTGCCTCATATCGGTTTGTATACACTAATTCACATTTTAAAATAACACTAATGCATCAAAACGAGTGTATGAGTTACTTGAAATATTTTCCACTGAAGCCTACAACTTGTTTTGGAGTTGTTTATTATCGGTCCTCATGGACGTTTTTATGGTACTCTTGAATCAATTTATTCACATTCTTTCACAAAGGATCTGGATTTCACCACAAAATTTTCATTTGATCTTCTCAAAACTACTCTTAGGATGCTGATGAAAATAATCTCGTAAACCGAGAATGAAAAACAATGCCAATTTTGAGTAATCTTGTTTCTATGGAAATAAGATGAATCAGGAGTTTTCAGTGTTTTATAATGAGCACAGGAAGGTTAGACAACCGTGGTCAAGCGGTGAATACAAGACGAGGGCTTGAAGAAAACAACCGAGCATTTGATACTTAATGCCTCATTTATCTGAATAGAAAGGATTTTCATGTCTCCTTCAGGTATGGTCCCATTTTTGTAAACTGAACAAACCCATAGAAATTCGGTGGCACTATGAAAATGTGCTCACGAAAAGCGTGTATTTGACCCGAATACATTGGGTCACCAGCAAGCTTAACTTAGCAAGAGCATTGCATGAGCGCTATGTTGTGCTCAGCGGAGGCTGTTTGCACAGGTATGTGTGTCAAACAAGCGAGCATGGTCGTCAGGGCTCTTTCCGATCATAAAACATACAATAGTAATCGACAAAAAGGAGTAGGTCTGAAAAGTATGTTATCACACTAGCGATAATTCGGTGCAGTCGTGCAGCATCAGCGAATAGACACCCGATGGATGAAACTGAAGCTCGGTTTGGACCAGGATTCGCGCAAGGTTTTTTCGACAAAGATGTGCGCCGTCATGCGACAGGTTACTTGCATGCAAACAACACAATGAAATTCGTGTAAATCTATATCTGGACAAAAAAGTCCGTGTCACACATTTTGTGCGCGCTTGGAAACGGAATATTGGTGGTAAATGTTTTGGTTCCAGTACCGCTATCTCTGTTTCAGCCAAAAGCTTCCAAGTTCAGGCTACAAGTAGCCACTGATGTGGAATTAACGAGGACTGGGTTTACTTCATACATTGTTGCTTCTGTCTGTAAATCAAACAATTAATGCTGAAACAATCAACCAACGATGTTGGTCGTAGTATATATCCACTGAAACTAGTCACCANGATAAGACTTCAAAAGGATCATCGTTGGAAAAGTGAAACCGAGGAACTCAATCAATATTGTAAACCTGCAGTTACACTGAGTATGTTGTATTTTATGATTAATCTGATATGTAGGATGTTGAATCACAACTCTTCTGGAAAAACCCAGAATACACTGATAACAATACGTGACTAGATTGATTTGTAGCTAAAACACATTTCCTAGTTGAGGTAGTAAGATGAGATTGTAATTGACGTAAAAACTTATCTCGTTAAATACAAACAAACACAATGAGCATCGGTTTTAATATGTTGCTTTCTCAAATTATTTGCCAAGAAATTCTGATGCATGACGGATACCACTGACCTTTTCCGAAATTCACAGTCTGCCTCTTACATTTTCCAAATGTGTTTCGGCGATTAGATTTCCCAACTGAATCCGAAACTTTTCGCGCTGTTTCATGAGGAGAATCGACAAATAAGCTTTCCCGTTTCCGCACATTGATCTGTAATATATCTTCCGTATCCACTGTGATTTAGTTGATTGCCCCAAATGTCCTTTCAGAATAATAAACCTAGCTTGCTCGCTAGTTAGTCAGCTACACTTGTATACCATAGAGTGGTTGGTATTCCCAATCTTATATCTATCTGTCTCTTATCTTTCCTGGTGTGTGCGAATGGTACTCCATGATCTTGCACGGTAGTCTTTCGATCACCTGAATTTGTTCTCAACCAATAACTAAAGCATTTATGTCACAACACTGGCTCCCTGAAAACACTTTCAGTAAAAGTCACCGAGGATTAATCTTACACTCGTGTGCTGATCTTTCGAGAACTTGTTTTATAAACTTGTTTATCGATTCTTTAGTCCATGTGCTGGTCGACAGGGACGGTTTGAACAATGCCTAACGAACTCGTCACGGATTATGGAACTCAAGCTATTCCATAGCCGGAATTTCCCACCCTCAATTTTGTAATTCGATCTATTATTCTTTGATTAGAGCAGCATGTTTCCAGACTGAGCTTATAAGCTCGCATAACTTCTATCAAATTTTAATAAACCCTAATTAAATAACGAGTAAAACTGGACTTCATCATCAGTGTCGCGCAAATCAAGTCAGAACATTACAAAATATTGAAACCTCGATTTCAACTGATAAAATAACCGGATCACTGTCCATTCAAATTACAGAACATCCCATCGATCAGCCCATCTTATGTAAAAAAGAAAGCAGTTGTAAATCTTACTGCAAAGTTCTGATAAGCGTACTTAAATTTGATGGTATTGTATTAGTCGTTGCGTTAAACAACCGGCATGCGTTTCAGTGATGATAAAATTCCTGTATTGTCTACGCTTCCGAGCTCAATTTGAAGAGTGCATTCAGTGACTTGCAGCATGGTCCAATCTTTATCGATCCGGAATGGGGACCCCACAGCGGCGGTCAGGATCTGATGTGAAGCGAAATTATGTGAGTGATGAAATGTGGGGCTCTTCACTGCCGTGAATTTGACGCCGACACATTCCACCCCATAGATATTCCGGTAGGGTACTCTTTTTCCCCAACGATGTTTTCATACTCGGTGAGATTACTTTATCTCGTCTGAAATAATAATTTCCAGTGACTTGTTTCCAGGTGAAAACACAGGCAAGTTGATAAAAGTGGGATGTATTAGTGTGGCACCAGGGCATAATGATTTTCGAAAATTCAAACATTGCACTTCAGAATTTGTTTCCCGTTATACTAGAGGTAAATTAAAGTAAAGACAGTCGAGATCATTTTGAAGAAGTTTCAAGTAGATATCAGAGAAAAATTTGTGCCGAAAAAGGTTTCAAAACGCTGGTTTTAAAGAGAGTGGGAGGTATGATTAACAAATAATTTTCTTCTGACAAAAACGGTTGCAACCGAACACTGTAAACTTTGTATTTCAAACTTGACAGATACTAGCGATTTCGTAGAAATCAATTAAAGGTTAAATAGGTGCTAAAAACCTGTTTTTTATCTTTTTAAATTTAGCCAATCACCATCCCAAAACGAATACTTCTCGGGAGCTACTTTGGCTTTTCTTGACGATGTTTGCTCTACACAGGGACACCAAAAATAACCATTTCTGACAAACGTGCTCCGTGCTATCTACAGGAACTACAATACTCAACAATTAAGGGTTCGGAGGCAATTGTGATCAATCATTGACAGATGTGCTAAAAAATAAGACATAACTACCTTGCAAATAGATTT